AAACTACCAAAAACGTCGAAGCACCGGATGCTCCAAACAGAAAAGGCTATGAAAATCCTCCACAAACAACCAGTGCTCTATGTGCAAAAGAAGTAAGTTCACCCAGCTACTATTACTACCCTGGTTGGCCTTCAGTAGAGACTGTGAATTCATGAATTTGCAATATTATCTTTCCTAATTCTTCTGACATTCCGCTTATTTTATGTTAATGCTGTTGAGCTGTAATCCACTGATATTATTATTGTTGATTCGATGTTATTTAAACAACATTAATAATGTCCATAACACTAATTAATTCATTCATTCACTATAATGTATACATAACTGATATGTATCCACATATATATTTATGTGTGTGTGTGCATGTTGGTCTCTCTTTCTGTTTGCTCGCTTAGTCTGTGACCACTTCACTTGTATGGACTTGTCTCCTTTAATAATGTGTATTCTCCTTATATTATATTATATATAATATGAGTGTTTGTTGACAGTCCGTCGCTTGGTGACATATATCCATATATGTTTGTTGGCATGTCTGCTATATTCGCTATGTATAATTGGATCGACACTCCATTATAATTAGCCATTCATGTTAAGACTGTCTAATGATTTTTCCCACGCTTGTCTGAATTATTTATATATATTCGCATTTACAATTTGTGTGAACTACTTTACTTTACAACTACTTGACTTGCTTACCACTTTGGTGTGAGACCATTCATTTTTCGTCTCCTTGTGTTTGGACAATAGAAGTATCATCGCAAACCTAGTGGTCTTCTGATTTCCGCCTTCTCGCGTCAGGAGTATTAGTTTCTTGACCAGTCCATAACAATAATTTAGCGACGAGTACATAACAATAACCGTAGAGTCTGATGAAGGCGTTCTTTTGAAAATGCAATAATCATCAAAACTCCACGTCATTCTACACGGAATGTCTGAATGAAAGCACTAGGTGGAGTGAAATACATTTAACTGAAAAAAGTCAGTCAATACCCTATACATGCATGCAGAATGCATAAAAGCATTTCAAACGTACAACGTAAATTAGCATGCACAATTTCATAAGCAAAACATGCTATATGTCAATCTATCCATCTATCTATTTCTATGGTAAAGTTCATTCGTGATATATATGCTGAGCAGCATTCCTCTAAAAATCGTCTAACATCACATACGTGGAGGAACGATGATAACGTGTACTGCACTCAGATTCATTTGCTCCTCCTGATGGTGGTGGTGGTGGGCATATAGTTACAAGAGGCCTAATAGATTCAATGAAACAAGAAATAAATCAATGATGAATAAATGTTGGCCGACAAAACTATCCACTTAAACCAAAAATTGCAGTGCTTGATTGGACAGTTAATAAACTGGTATGATATGTCCAGTGGCTTTGTTTGCTGCAGACTGATCCAAACAAAGTATCCAAAACAGTCCCATACGGAAGGTCGACCTCGAGTCTGAATAGCTTAGTGGTAACGTCTCTCTAACTTCAGTTCAAATCTCAGAAAGGAACATGGGTTCCTTCAAGGTTACAGATACGTCTTGATAACTGGTGAGTGCCGAAATGCACGAAACCTAGGCCCAGACAGGGCTTCCTGTCGATCGCCATCAACCATCTCAAATTAACAATTCACATTGCAGTGCATCATGATGGCGAGCCACCATATAGTGGCATGATGGCCACATTGCAAACTTGACTGATAGAATTCAGTCTGCATACATTTCAGCGCATGATATAAAGAGTAAGAAAGTTCCTTTCTTTAGAAGAAAGTAATAAGCATATAAAAAATGACTTTCTGTGGAACAATTGGATATGTTTTGAGAGTGATTCATTTTCTTTGCGCTCCAATTGGAGCACAGAGCTTCAAGATTTGAAGTTTTAGTTGTGGTGACAGTGGTGGTGATTGTGTTTAGCTTTTCACGTCTGACCTCTCTTTCCCAGGGTTGACTACTGGTTGGTTGGTGAACTAGGAAAGGTCTGGGAGGGAGGGGTGAGAGTCGGCCAGGAACGAATCCGTAGTCCCACCCATCCACCTCCATGTGAATGACTAGTGAGCTACCGATGTAAACTGGCAGCAGTTTGACTTACTAAACTCTGAGATAAACCATTATGTGATAACTTCACTAATAACAATATCTAGTACACATAAACAACAGGAATTAAACTAGCCACATAAGTAGGGTACAGCATATACCTTGATAGTGCAGTAATTGTCAAGGTAATGAGACGATCAGTTTAAAGAATACTAACTAATGAAGATCATATCCACCCAAATCGAAATAGTTCTCATTACACAGCAGTCAGATTTCAACCAATCCGATTAAAGGTTTAAAATTCACTACTACTATATGCTCCCGCAAAAATACATAAATCTCATTGTCAACAGCGTGAGATTGTATGCAGTCATTGAATTCATCGAAATTTTCAATAGAGATGTGACTCAGTGACTTAAGCACTCTACAGTTTGAGTCAATGGGTCTCAGGTTTGCATCTCAATTCGCTCAGAATACACGAAACCGATAATTTGAAACTTCATGAGATGTTCTGACTTCAAATATCATGGATTACGTTAGGAATATAAGGAAAATATCAACCTGTTAGTGGCAACATTATTTATGAGGTTATTCATGAACGACCAGCATGAGGTCAGTCATGGGGCCTTCCCACTTACTGGAATAAGCAACAGAAGTGCAACCATATATTCATTATTTAGGAACTTTTCCATTATTTAACGATTTCTGTATGCAAAAAGGGCGTCGATGAAGTATGCCCTTCTATTCTGATATCGATTTAATAAGGAGCTGATGTAAGCAGCAGTAAAGATTTCTGTGTGCAATCACCACCACCACCAACACCACACTAATTTCAACTCAGTTACCCACAAAACAAACCTTTCAAGTACTATGTAGTGGGGATAATGCTTTGGCGTTTGAAACTATGGGCACTGGGGTTTGAGCCTCCGTAGTGGGAAAATCATCACTCACTGGGGAATGCAGGTACATCCAGCTAGTGACGAGTCCCAGAAAGGACGAAATGCGCGTTATCCTGGATTCTATCACAGCTAGTCACCATCCACCAATTAAATTCTTTCAAGTATCAGTCTAAAATCCGCATATACTAATGTGTGAGGGCTAATTATGCACCTCAACTGTCTAATCTGAAACGGAACTCGAATCCAGAATTCGGGAACGGAGTACTTATTTTTTTTTTATTACAGCTTGATTCCTCACTGTGTTTTTGGTACAAGTATGGAATTTTCAGCATAGTCCAAATTTTGCAGGCCGACCGTAGATATCAGGTGTGCGCGTCGGCAGGGGATCGAACCTCGGACCATGTGCATGGTCGGCGAGAGTCCTAACCACTGTGCCACCGACGCATACTTAGGGCCAATGAGCCAACCAACATCTTCCAACTCGTGCGTTCTGTAGGTCAACTAGTATCAATCACACCAATCAGGTCAAATGAACCAAATAAATGGACCGAATTGTTTAAGCTCGCCAATCGCCACCAAGCACCTGACTGACCCAGGACACCGAGTAGATGTGCTGGAATCATTCAAAATAATTAACACACAAGGTACCTCATGTCTTTTCAGGTTTTCGGAAGCTATAGATAGCAATAAAGCGATTGAAGCCTGACTTATGTGTCCAAAAAGAATCCGTTGTTGGACTTCAATTAGCCTGATGACTCACTTCTCAGTAACTCTCTTTGTTTTCTAATTTTGTTAGCTTATCATTTCACTCCACCCCCTACCCCTCCAAATTTATTTTTCGCTTGACTCTTTTAAGAGATAATTTTTCTTGATCTCCTGAGTTCTGCTCACTGTATTACATCATCGCCTTCTCATCTGACCTCATGTGCACCGAAATTGTAAAATTTTGATCTTCTCTTATCTAATTACGTAACTATTACTAATTGTCTTTTGTTACCACCCGTACAACACAACTGTTAGCTAATTTTCTTTTCAAGAAACTTCTCTCTAACAAGATATACATATATATATATATATATATATATATATATATATATATATGTCATAACACTTTAGACACCCTGTAAATCGCAACGCCTTATTTCATTATGACGCTCTGACAATATGCTTGCTAATGGACAAAAGTTTGTTAAAATTGTACACTTTGTTATCTCATTAAAGGATTCAGGTTGTACGCAGAAGATGAGAACCAACGAAATAAAATGGATCCAGATTATTCTGCCCCGATGTTTCTTCTTTCTTTGTTTAAACCAAATAACTCTTATATGAATCACAGTGATATATATATATAACAATGCTTATAATCGATTTGTGGTCACCAGAAAGGTAGATATTCATTTAGCCATTAAAACTAAGTCTTTTCTATCTGTCAGATACACACAACAGGATGAGATGATATCAATATTTGCGGTTTGAAGAAACATGAGGATGATGAATCAACGACCAGGACACAACTCTCTATCAACACACTTACAATATCAAACAATACTCGACAGATTGTGTATTAGACGACGAGATTTCAAGGGAATTCAGTGAACTAACATAGAAAAACGTGAGCAAAATAATCAGGACATGTGATTTGAAAACTAGAGCAAAGTGTAATCATGTGATATTCGTGGGAAGAATATCCACTTTTTACATTTAACACAATGCGTCATTGGCACAGCGGGTAGAGTGCTCGCCAACCGCGCCTTATGTGGTTCATGGTTCGATCCCCGGCCATTTGACTGACGCACTCCTTTACCTCGGTAAGCCAGTAGTAATAAGACTGATAAAGAGGGAAGGTTGAGGGGGGGGGCGCATGAGGTGGCTAGCAACCCCCCCCCATTTGTGTAAAAATAATCACCACTGCTACAGAAACTTCAAACCGCTAGCGTGATGAAGCCTTATGTTCCACTGGGGGAGGGAACGTAAAGGAATAAAAAAGACAAACAAAAAAAAAACTTGAACTGCATCATTAAAAGAAGCAAACAGGTTAGGGGTACGGTGGGTGGGTAGGGAACTTACAAACTGTGTTTCTTCAATCGACAAAATTCCTCTCCATTATGCAATAATGTATTCAGAAGTGGTGGAAACCTTCTACTATGTGGCTTTGCAACATCATCTATGGTTTGAAGAGGATACTCCAGAATGTTATTTAACGGATTATTATTATTATTATTACTGTTCATTGAATTGATCACTTGGTAATATTCTTCAGTGTGAATCAGTGAGGGAGAAAAAGGGGAAAAAAGAAGAATGCTAATGACGACGTGATAAGAGTGATAACACTATTTACATAAACTGGAAAACATCGGTAAGTTATTATTTCTCTAACTCGTATAATTAATTACCTACTAACAAAAAATGTAGTTAAGCTATTCGACAGATGATATCAGTAGAACTGGATCAAGTTTTAACCATAAACAAAAGAATTTGAGATACCCTATCAACGCGACATGGTACAGAGGAGGATAGAGAGATTTCGATCTTTCTCTCTCGAAATGTCTTTTTATGTGGCCACACACAAGTGTGAGTGAGGGAAACGAGTAGTGATATGAAGGAACAATAGAGTTTTATTGGATATGACAAATCACAAAAGAGTAGTGAATATATCTGCGCCCGCCATTCACAACGAGGATTTTGAGCCATATCAACAATTGTCTCCAGCCTTCATCGGTTCCTACCATTCCGAGGATCCTAGTCAGGAAGTCTACACCTCCATACATGGCTGACTGGCCTAAACTAACTGTTATGAATTTCATCGATTTATGAAGTTATGTTTTAGTTTGACTAAGACTACCTCTTTTCCAACCTGATCCGATGTCAGTGTTGGCTAACATTGTCCGTCGAAGAAGGCGATGGTTAAGCAAGCATACGTAACACATGTCGCAACCATCTCAGTTGTTGTAACTTCACAACGTTGCCGATTGATTCCCCCCCCCCTTACGTATCATTCGACCGAAGCCTCACTTCAATTATTAATCACCTTATTATACCACCACCTAACATAGGAGATAGAACGCAGACGCCTAGCTAACGTTTTCATATCTTCCACTTTCATTGGTCATATGTCCCGCTCACAGCGATAAAGGAGGACAGAGCGAAGTGCTGAGCAGTACACACACGCTCTTTGGTCAACAGCCGTATATTATATCTACGCCAGAGATGGTGTAAGTTGGCAGGCATATGTCAGTCAAACGAGCCTTCAGTATCCGTGCTGAGATTTTGTCAGTCATCAACCGTTAGAGCTGACGCAAAGCAACACAACAATACAGGCCATCTATCAAGCATAAGAAAAAGGTTCAGAGCCACTAGTGCTACACCTTAGTCTGTTGAGAAATCTAAAAATTCATAAATAATGTAATCGTATGTGTGTTACACCTTTGAGTATGACTTTCCGTCCTGAACTAATTAATTCCTCCAATCTCCTTATTATTACACCTTGTATGAACAAATCTTTTGTTTATCCTTAGTAATTCATTTACACACACACACACACGCATCCTACCTTATTTTCTCTCCTTGTTTTTTGATGGTATTCTTCATCCATATAAAATTTATAATTAATATAAATAGAATGCAATATGAACATTAATCATGCGCATTCATCACTACTATATATATTTATTCATTGTTGGTACTCAAGATCATTTAATGTGGAAAATTGGTGTTTATCAATTTAGTGGGAACATTTATGCATATTATCGTCTATGCACATGTATAACTTTGAACTATAATCTATCAACAATCCTATTCACAAAAATAAAACTCCAAAAAAAATTTGAATGTTAATGATACGAAGTTATTTTTTTAGGAAAAACATTCATGCTATTAGTTGGAGGATTTTGATCATGAGCTAGCATCAGTTAGAGAACCATTGGAAAACCTGAAGGGAGTACTGAACAGTCAGCTGTTTCGCCAGTCCAGTCTGAGACTCGTCAGCAATACGCATCCAAACTGCAGGGATCGAGCTGGTAGACACCACTAAGTCACTGGCCACCCCCCCCCGATCCAATGGCCACTTAGCAATGCCTTCTTCGATGAGTGACCGCCCCACCTTCAACCTGCTGGTCGGTCACAGCCTCCTACTAGAACCTCAGGTAACTGTCTGAATAGGGGAAGTCGCTAGTAAGCATCAGATGAAGAGTCCCAAACAAGGTTGACGAAACAGTTGGTTGTCTAGTACTCCATATTGGCTTTTCTAATAGTTCTCTAAGTGATGTCAGCTCATGATGAAAGTACTACAATCAATCAAACAAAAAAATTCCCCACAGAACCAATACTTGAGAATTCACGTTATTAATTATGACAATAATTCTTCCACTATTACGGATACATAACCATAGAATTTGATGAAGAGCAAATTATGGAAAACGTGAATAGTCTTTGTTCATCAAATTTATTGAGATACGTGGACGATATTTTCATTATTTGTGACAACAACAACGACGACCCCAATCTACTGCTGAAGACATTCAACAGTTGCCATCCAGCAATAAAGTTCCCTCTTCACATGGAAACACTGGAGCTGTGCATACAAAAGAAGATTACTCAACCACTTCTACCGTCATGGTAACAACTTTTTTAATTTTATCTGAATTTTTTTTTATTTCGATGACTTAATTTTGTTTCTTTGCATGTTCTTTAATTGCTTATAATTCTTGTATTCATTTAGAACTCTTACATAATTCCGTATTATCTACTTAGTTCCTGTGTGCATCCTGAGTAAAACTCACTCATCAAACTATTCATATTATTATTACATAACTTCTTTTAACAACTGTTTGTGACAACTCATCATCTTTGTTACTACCCTGATTTCATTAACACCTAATTTTCTTGACTTGTATTACCAATCTTCACCTGTTTAGTTAAAATAACCTTAACCAATTGTAATTTTGTTTGACAAACGCATACATTAAAAAAATAACACATATATACTTGCGATTGTACAGCAAAGAAAATGAATTCGCCGCCGAAAAGAGACTCTTTGCTGAACTACGTGTTTTGTTTTTATTAATTCTTTTTTGCTTAAATTTCTAATGAGCATCTATAATCAACACAGTATGTATAGGATTTATTTCACGCTTTACTGCTAGCATCATCATTGACGTCATCTTCAACAGATTCAGGTAGGAATTTTCTGAATAAATATCAAACTGAATTAGATTTAAAGGCAGGAATTAATTCATAGAGTGCGTCGGTGGTATAGCGGTTAGGACGCTCGCCGACCATGCATATGGTCCGGGGTTCGACCCCCGGTCGGCGCACTCCTTTACCTCGCTGAGCCAGAAATAATGCTGGTAAAGAGGGAAGGTTGGACATGAGGCTAGCAACCCCATCCTGTAAAAATTAAACACTGCTACAGAAACTTCAAGCCACTAGCTTGGAGCCCTATGTTCCACTGGGAACGTGAAGGAAAAAAAGTTAATTCATAGTAAGTGGTGCAGCGGGAGAATATTCAACACGCACGTCGAAAGTCGTCTGAGGTTCGAGCCCCAGACGACGTACTGGCTAAACGCCTTTTGCATCAGCCGCCCCAGAAGGAAGGTTGATGGCTGACAAAATCTCAGCATGGATACAGAAAGCTCAGTTGACATTTTCCAACTTACTCCAATCTCTAGCTTAGTAGACGTCATATCCAGCTGCTGCTAAGCAGTTCGCTTGGTCCTCTTTTGTAGTTGAGAGACATAGCCATTGAAAGCAGGACACATGAAGAAGATAGCAAACTGTCTTTGATCATAGGATCCGGTTGGAAGAGAGTTAGCTAGTGGTAGTCAAACCAAAACATGGTTTCATTAGTCAATCAAATTCATAAACAGTTAGTTTAAGCCAACCACCCAGCTACGTAGGGAGATGTAGACTTCTTGATTGGTTAAGGTCCTCAGGATGATGAGAACCAGTGACGGCTGGAGACAATTAGTGATATGTTTGAAAATCGTTGTCAATAGCTGACGTAGATGCATTCACTCCTTGTGATTTGCTATGTCCAATAAAAAAATCCATTGTTCTTCCATATTACTAATTTTTCCCTGACACTTCTTTTCATTATCTTTCTTTTGGACCTCGTGTAACTCTGTTCTCTTGCTTTGTGCGCTACATGAATGGAGAGTGGAAATTTGAAATACTGTACATCTGTGCAAAGTTCTATGTTGAAACCAGTCAGTCAGTCAAACAAACCCCCCTAAGCGGAGAAGCGTTTCTCTGACTGAGAGCCGCTTCACTTATTTGGGAAGTACCATAAGCCAACTCCAACGGGTTGATCTCTAACGAAATCTCGGCACGGATACAGAGAGCTAGTTTCGCATATGCCAGTTTACGCCGTCTCTGGCTTAGTAGACGTGATATCCTACTGGTTATCGACCAATAGGAGGGTGCACTGCTCAGAAGTCTACTCCGTCCTCCTTTATGGCTAGCTGTGAGACCTGGCTATTGGGAGGGGAAGACATGAAACGCCTAGCCAGCTGTCTTTGAACATAGGTGCTTGCATTCTTTCTCCCGTGTGAAGTGGTATAATAAGGTGAGCAATATTGAGGTTAGGCATCAGTCGATTGCTAGGTAGGTGGGAGGGGAAATCAATCGACGAAATTACATGAAATTACATCGACTGAGAAAGATGTTTAGGACGTGTGTTACGTATGCCTAGTCATCGCCTTCCTCGACCGACGGGCAGTGTTAGGTGATATAGGGTCAGACTGGAAAAGAGCTAGCTAGCGGCGGTCAAACGAAAGCATGGCTTCATCAGTCGATGAAATCTACGACAGTTACTTTAAGTCAGCCACATAGGAAGGTGTAGACTTCCTTGTAGGGTTTCTCGGGACGGTAGAAACCAATGAAGGCTGAAGACAATTGGTGATATGGCTGAAACTCATCGTTTTCAATGGCTGGCGTAGATGCATCCACTCCTTGTGACCTATGATTTCCAATGAAACTGTTTTGTTCTTCGTTATTACTATTCCTTTGAGGCCTCCAAAGCCTCAGGATGGTCGGGGGTGGGTGCCTTGCGCTGCGGGTTGGCCACCCCTCCGTACACCTCTTGAAATGCTCCCATATGACCGGGCGTCTTACATAGCCTCTCCTGAGGAAGTCCTACTCACTGCCTTCACGTGGCGGAGGTGTTTATTTCACCGAAGTGAGAGGGCAAAAGCTGATGCCTGGCGCTCTTCACCGGGGTGACTGTCCATTGGATGACAGTCTAGGGGAGATGGCTAAACCCTGATTCCAAACCTCCAACGACTGGCGTATGAAGCTCACCGGAGTTCACCGGTAGACGTATGGACAAAGGGCTTATTGGATGCCCTGGATGACTGGCCTCATTCAAAAAGGCGTATGAACCGAACTCCGGTCACCAGCTGCCAATGGATAATGGACTCCCTACTCCACTCCTACTGCCTTGTAGGTCACACTTGGTTGTGTAAAGGCTAGAGCTGCACTCTCAAACAAAAGGCCGAGCGATGCTGGGGACATCACTCGTACCCAATTCCCATGAAACTTCATGGTTCATGAAGCCGGCTCATCCTCCCGTAGGAGATAGCCGAAGTAAAGTAAAGTAAGTAGTATTCCTTTGTCTCATCTCCCGCCTCTGTTTACTGTTTCTATTATGCATTTCTTCTACTTTCTTCTCTTGCATTGTGTGCTACGTGGAGGGAGTGTGGTGACTTGAACTGGTGCACATCGGTGCAAAGTTCTATGTCGAAAACAGACAAACAAATCGATCAGAGATAGAATACTGGACCATGTGTGCATGTGTGTGTGGATGACAGGCATTCTCCTGACACCACCAAGCTAATGAAACTACATACATGTGACACAAACAAGAAGGTAAAAAGAAAATAAGGATAACTTACGAACTGGATTAAAAACGACTAATAACCGAAGATTGAAAGTAGCATTGCCTGATGATGATGACGATGAAATAGTAGCCTTACAATGATCAAAATCCGGTGAAATATGCGATGATGATGATAGTGAAGATGTCGAGTTAACAATCCCATCATGATGACTAGTATTCAACTGGGTTATAATATTATCTAAAGGGCAGCATGCATTTATCATAGAATTGATAATTTGTACTACATCGATTGGTTTTAAATGTTCCACTGAACGACCATTCACAGCCAGCAGTTGATCAGCACGACGTATTTGATTATAGATGGATAAAACGCTTGGCAAACAGTAAGAAGAAGGATAGCCTGAATCACATGAGGATGATGTGGATGAGGAGGATAATGAGACAGTTGTGGGACAAGATTTTTGATTGGCCATTGAATCAGGGGATAATGTGACTTCTGAATAATAATAATTATTATTATTGTGAATAAGACTATGAACCTAGATTCAATGAATAGAAAAACATAATTATAATTTACTAAACTGGAAGATATTAAAAAACAAGCTATCCCTGACCACATATATTGATTCTTTTCAGGTCAGGTGCATACGGTGGAGGCTAAGTCAATCAATAAGGTTGTCAGACAGAAACACTTGATGAAATGGCTAGGACATGTATAGCGCGCATGCCGAATCATCGCCTTTCGCGACCTCATGACCTGTATATCTCCTTGATGCGGGTTATGAATTAAAAATGGCGAATTCCTTTAAAAAAATTTCAAAAGAATAGATACTGAACAAAGAGTACTATTTATGTTGTTGAAATAACGCCGAATAAATAATATTGATAGATTACAGTTCAATGGCATATCTCAACATAACACTAAACTGAATGTCAGAAACATTAGAAGAAATAATATTACAAATTCATGAATTTATGGTCTCTACTGAAGGCCTGTCTGGGCAGTAGTAGTGCTGGCTGGACTTGCTTCTTTTGAACACAGAGCAGCGGTTTTTTGAGGAGAATCACAATGCTATTCGGAGCATGCGGTGCTTTGATAATTTTGGTAATTTACTAGGAACCCGGTAGATGATGATAGAGAAGGATGCTTCAATGTACTGGCTACTTTGTGGCCGGTTTGCACCAAATTGTCCAATATCGAGAACTGCTTGTTAATGGTTTTCACTACACCTTTACTTAGCCCAACTGGGATATGTTCTCGAGTGAGCACGAAAAATCAAGTTCCTAGAGCAAAGGCCGATATAACTCGCTCCACCACAAGCGCAGTTGAATCGGTAGATACAATTTGAAGTGGCCAGCTAGTCTAGGTACTTCATCTTTCAGTCGAGGTAGCACAATAATTACTGAATTCAATGAAGTACATTCGGCTATGTGAAATTCACATGCGAAGAGGAATCCCAAAAAAGAATTCCCTTCCTGGATGTCCATCCTACTTACAAGAAAACCCCAGATGGTAGGATGAAAAGAAATTTGCATAGAAAAAGTACTTCGACAGGACAATATACACATTTTCACAGCTTCGTTCCTCCCAAGTACAAAATAAATTTAGTAAAGACCCTGAGTTACAGGGTAAGTTAGAGCTATATATGCTCAGAAGAAGTAATTGAAGATGAATTAAGCATTGTATATGATAATTTGATCGAAAATATCTGGCTATCCCGACAAATTTATCAAGAAACATATGACAAAGAAAGTGGCGGAAAAGGACTACTCACTATCTGTAAACAAGAAACCTCTTTATATAAACGACTACAATTCAAGGGAGATATACCAAGTGAAATAATTACGAAGAAATTAAGAAAATCAGTTCAAAGAACTTTTAATGCTGGCGACGAATTACACGTATTATTATTCTCTACACAACTGATGGTGGTGATTTCTCAACTGAAAGATGAAGTACCTAGACTAGACTAGCCACTTTAAATTTTATCAACCAATTCAACTGCTCTCCTATGGTGGAGCGAGTTATATCAGCCGTTGCTCGAGGGACTTGGTTTTTCGTGCCCACTCGAGAATATCTCCCACTATGGTTAAGTAAATGTGTAATGAAAACCATCAGCAACTCGGTATTAGACCATCTGGTTCAAATAGGCTACAAAGCAGGAGGCATTGAAGAATCCTTCTCTATCGTCATCTACTGACTACCAAATAAATTGCCAAAATCATTGAAGTACCACATACTCCAAACACCAGAGGCTATCGTGATTCGCCTGAAACAACCAGTGCTTTGTGTTCAAAAGAAGCAAGTCCAGCCAGCCACTACTACTGACCTGGAGGGGCTTCAGTAGAGACTATAGATTCATGAATTTGTATTAATATCTTTCCTAATTTTTCTGACATTCAGTTTATTGTTATGTTGATGCTACTGAACTGTAATCCATTGATATTATTATTGATTCGATGTTATTTAAACAGCAACATTAATGTTGTTCATAACACTAATTCATTCATTCACTATAATGGATGGATATATAACTGTAGAGCCTGATGATGATGAAGGGGTTATCAAAAAGAGTATTATTTGTTCAGTACCCATTCTTTTGAATAATTATAATTATTATTTATCAAAGTGGAAGATATTAAAAAACAAGCTATCCCTGACCACATATATTGATTCTTTTCAGGTCAGGTGCATACGGTGGAGGCTAAGTCAATCAATAAGGTTGTCAGACAGAAACACTTGATGAAATGGCTAGGACATGTGTAGCACGCATGCCGAATCATCGCCTTTTGCGACAAACAATATTAACTGAAATAGGATCAGGATTGAAAAAGAGTCAGCCGAGGGGTCAAACCGAAATTCGACATCAATCTATGTAGTCAATGACATAAAACCGGACCTCTGCATTCGAAAGCGCTGCATATATATTCACTCGCCCTACTACAGTGACCAGACTAACGTTCCTACTATAGCTTTACTTTTTTATTATTATGTCTACCATTATTATTGTTATTATTCTCGTCAATTATGTTTTATTATCCCTCCATTACTGTTTATTAATAACATTGGATTTTCATATTGGGTCGCTGGCACAGCAGTTAGGACTCTCGCCGACCATACAGATAGATGGTCCTGGGTTCGATCCCCTACCGACGCACACCTGATATCCACTGGTCAGCCTGTAAAATTTGGGCTATCGATATCACATGTTGAAAATTCCATAACTGTACCAAAAATGCGGTATGGAATCAAGCTATAATCAAAAACATTTTTTTTTTTACATAAAAACAATTTATCACCATTCTACTAATTCCTGTCCATTCCACACAATCTTATCGATTAGTTATTATATCATACTTATTACGTCACACCCAATTCTGCCTCTTTTCAACTTCCAATTAGTCATCCCTTCTAGGTTACACCTCGTATTACGTAATACATTTTTCGAGGACAGAGTTTACCAGTATCTGATTGGTTTTATGATTTTTCTGTTAAATATAATCACGATTGTACAGCAGCTTATGAAAATGAATCGTTGAAAAGAAAATTTTCTTCGCTGTTAAAGTCAATATGGGAATTATTTCGTCTATTGACAGTTGGGTATGAGTCAGCCATGTAAGGGGGTGTAGACACCCTGGGTGGGATTCTAAGAACCAATGAATAAAGTGGATTAGGTAGTGGAGACGAAAACAACTCTTCTTCACCAAAAAGTATTTGCTGAATTGTACCGTTTTCATTTTGTTGACTAATAAGGCATGATACCGCCTACCAAGCTACCTAGGCGAATGTAAATGAAGTTGGAGCTGATAACGGAACTCAAAGCAGTAAAACAGATAGCTAGTAACGAAGAGGACGAGTGCGTCACTCAGTTTTGTAGCAATGTATTTTATTCAGAAAAAGCCATATGAATTTGATTCACTGTCACATAATCGATGATGATTTTGAGGGACTCAGACAAGTAATTTCTCATTAACAATGGATAATCCTATACAAGATTCATAGAGGAGATATGAAAGTATGCCAGAAAGCCTGACAGCATCCAAATGGTGTTGACAACAATAACCGTTTAACGAATTGTTGAAGTTAAAAGTGATACTACACTCAGTATATGACCAATGGATGCGTGAAGGACAAACTGCCACTTTGGGACACCTCGATGTGTGTTTATAAATTCATTTGGAGTTAGTTAGTTAGTTATATTGGCCACAGAAAGCGCACACTCATAAAACGCACCCCTGAATATAATCCGATAAGGCTATCAATGCAAGACAATTCACTAGTATAGTTGTCGAGCACATGGTGAACACTCAGGCCACACAGTTCCACCAGAATTACCTTTTACATTTACCTACAAGGTGAAACCGAATGATACATGTGGTGTTAGATTTCAGCAGTTCTGTATGACGGGGGAACTAGCGATTCAGCAATATTAGCCTCGAACTCTGTGTGAAGAAAAGGTTTTTTCAATCTTTTATTCTACCATCTAGTCTGAATCTCTTCCCCCAATCGTTCGCTTCTATTTACGGTAATTAATTCTTTGTTATGACTCTTATACATTCCTTTTGTAAATTTTACCAGGCTTTATCCTCTTACCCATTTAACACTCGTCAAATAACAATTCTCATTGTGTCATTGACTATTACGCAATTTCGGATCTTCGGAAACCAATTCTGAGTAACTGCTTCAACTGTCGTCATCCCTCTGTCAACTAAATAGTAGGCCACTATACTGAACACTAGTCAATAACTAGTGTTATGCGTCTAGTCCTTTATGGTTAATTCAATCAACCGAGTTAGCATTGTGACCATCATGCCACTAGATGGCTCGCCATCATGGCGATCAGGCAATCAGTAGGACACCCTATCTGTACCTAGGTTTCGCGCTTCTTAGCACTCGCCAGCCATCAAGGTGTATCTGCTAACTTGAAGGAACTCACGTCCCTTCTAAGATACGAACCCGTGTCCCTCAGTCCTGCCTGCAGTAAGAGAAGTTACAAGTTGTTGGGGCTGGCGACTAACTTCCTGTAGGACTGTATTACATACTACTAGATAGTAACTGATCAACTCCATTCTGTACCAAAGAAGAGGAGAGACGCATGACACTAGTTAGCGTCCAATCAAATTATCCAATACAATCCAACGGAAGGTCGGTGGCGAGCTCGAATAGCTCAATGGTAGTGTCTCTGATTGCAGTACTGAGTGTCATGGGTTCGAACCACAGGACGAGCATGAGTCCCTTCATCATTGTAGCTCCGCCTTGCTGCTAACTGGTGAATGCCAATTAGCACTAAACCTAGGTCTAGACAGGACTTCTTTCCGACTGCCTCTAACCACTTTATGTATTTTAAATGGAGACATCACATCCACATCACTTATAAATCACTCACTTGATGTATGAATACACCGAATCCATCTTCACCGCCAATCATTGTAAATGGTAAATCAATAAGATGATTATTATTGTTGTTGTTGTTGTTATTATTGTGACTAGTATTCACATGTTGTTCACCACCAAGGGATTTATTTTCTGAATGAATATTCTGTCGTACATTTTTCAATGGTATTACAAGTTCTACATGACGTGGACGAGCTTTTGTACTACATGCCAGACGAAATAGACGACGTTCACCAGCTGAAACAGACAAATAAATAATATTCAAGTATTGATTTTGTAGAGATTTGGTTTGTTCGATTGGTTGGAGGATTTCATCATGAGCTGACATCAGTTAGATAACCAATGGAAAACCACTTTGGAGTACCGGACAGCTGTTCTGTCCCAGTTTCAGACTCTTCATCAGTACGCACCCGCACCACGGGGTTCAAACCCAGGACCTTTTGGTTACATGGCGAGATCTCAGACCATTATTTATACTGCCATGAATTGGCACAAGTTGGAATCCATGGGTTAGCCATTGGATCGGGTCCCAGTGGCTTAATGGTCTCCGAACTCACCTTGTAACCAGAAGGTCCTGGTCCCGGTGAGCTGGAACTGCTAAAGAGTCTCAAACTAGGACTAAACAGATGTCCAGTACTCCAGGGTTTTCAATTGTTCTCTTACTGATGCCAGCTCATGATGAAATCCTCGAACCAAATAAATAATGATCATAATAACAGATATGTAATCGAAAAAGTCAAAAACATACTTGGAGTTATGGTATATATTTTAAATCAACAGTTACTGATCTCAAAGTAATGACCACCTAGTGGTTGTTCTTCGATAAGTCATAACTAATGATAATATCATTAGAGTAAACAATCAATCGTCAGCATTGCTTGTGACGACATATCTATTGAATGTGACAGATATGCATATATTAGCTAATTTTAAGCATATATGTTGTTTGTCTTCAATTTCTCGTATCATACCCTTCATATAAGGAGTGGACATCTGAGACCCTACGTAGGATTCTTAATAAGGCAGGAATCGGGGTGGCACGTAAACCTACAAACCCACTCACTCAGAAAGAGGACAAGCTCTGTATGCTAAAGGACCCGGTGGACCTAATTAAACAAAATAATATAATTTACAAAATACCCTGCAATGACTGTGAGTTAGGTCAACTACCTAGGTCATACTAGTAGATTAGCAGTAGTGAGATTATCAGAACATAAGAATTTAGAGAAAGTTAGAATGATTGACCCCACCCGCAAAGATAGGTAATTTAGAAAAAAGCTCAGCTTTGGCACTGTATGCATTAACACACAACCACACAACATGGTGGTGGGACAGAGTCAAAATTCTAAAAAGTAACCTAGGCAGATGGAGAGAGACAGACTGATTACTGAATCCTGGTTCATCGAGTGGTTTACATCCAACACACGCAGACTTTTATCAATAGTTGTCCACTTCTCTGGCTTCATATTGAAGATAAAATAACGAGTCGACCAGAAAGAATTAGCAACAAGAAACTTATGGGAACAAACCGACAGGCGAGAATCTATCGTTCAACAAATATATATAGAAAAACATGGAGATGGATTGGGGCACACGCCATTGAGGAGATCATCGAATGATATCGCGCGCCAGGCTATTGCTTGCGTGGAATCCCAGTGGAAATCGACGAGTGCGAAGTCACTTCAAGGTTGACGTGGAGGAGGAGGATAAATTATGAGAAATCGTGGAGCCAGCTAAAGAGTATCGCAGAAAATAGAACAAAGTGGGGATGTTCTTTTGAAGCCATACGTTCCACTCGGAATCGGAGAACAAAATCCCATTTTTGGGCGTCTTAGTCAAGCGAACAACCACAGGGGAATTAGAAACTCAAGTTTATAGAAAGTCAACTCACACAGACCAAATACTGGATTACAACAGCAACAACCCAATAACACACACGAAAAGAATCATATACGAACACTGTTCAAGAGGGCCAGGACTCATTGCAGCACTCCCACCTTAAGGAAAATTGAAGAAAGATATCTCATGGACGTCTTCCAAAAGAATGGATATCCACGGAATTTCATCAAAAGACATATACATCCAAGCCAACCTATCAAACCAAAAGTCCCCAAGGAAAGCACAAAGAAAATTGCTTTACCATTTTTAAAGGACATCTCAGAAATCACTACAAGACTCTTTAAACCTTTAGGAATTGACGTCACACACACAAACCAACAAAATCACTTCAATCAGCCAGCCAGCTCTGTGTCAACCAAAAGACTCAACAACGGAAGAAGATAAAACCAACATCATCTACAAAATAAATTGTAACAACTGCGAAAAACGCTACATTGACCAAAGTGGACATCCATTTCGTCTTCGTATCCACGAACATAGGCTAGCCGTCAAAAGACATGACATCCACTCCCTCACTCATATCACTACATACAGACAACCACGGACATTAATTCGACTGGGACAACGTTCAAATATTAGACAGGGAAAACACGAAGAACTAGAGAGAATTTTTAGAAGGCTGCTCGGTATTCCAGTGAATCATCAATCAATAGACACATCGAGATAGACAAAATTTATCAACCGATAAAAAGGAAAACTCACACACACAGAAGGTCAAAGAAACAATTAGTACCAATACAAGTAGCCTAGAGGATGTGAAAACACACGGAAACAATCAATCACGCTCATGGTCACCAGAAGAGATGACTACCAGTGAAGTCGTGGAGAAATGTAAAAGCTGACTTCATCAAATTTTGAAGTGTATGCGCTGAAGATGTTGCCTGATGAGGCAACGAAAGCTTCACAAATTAACTATCCAGGTCAAAGAACACAAGTACATCAAAATTTTCTCCATCATATTTTGAATTCTGAAGATCTTTGGTGTGGTCACGCATGTCAACTACTGAAGGGTCTATAACTGGGACGAGCACAAATATCTAGTACTCCTTGATTTTAAGTACTTTTTCCACTGACTTGAGTTCATGCTCTGCTCTATCTGTAGAAGTACAGCGGCTGCAGAAAGATATGTATTTGCGAAAAAATACACTCTGAACTTTTACCCTTACTTAGAATAAATCACCAGGATATTATCTTGAAAATCCCCATTTAGTCATATGAAAAAGAGAAGACGTTCAGCGAAGAGACTCTTTTCGGCGAATTCATTCACATAGCTGTACAATCGCATTTATATATAATTATTTGAGTGTGTGTGTGTACATGAGGTTTGTCAAAATTAGATAATTGATCAGGTAATAAAAGAATGATCTAATATAGAAACAAAGTTAATTGGACAGCAACTAAATTAAGATTGAGTTAGTAAGTTAGATGACGTAATACAATTGACTAAAATGTTTTAACTTAGGTCAGGTTAGCAACAGAGGTAATTACAGGTAGAGACTAAGTAGAAGTGGGGTAGATAATAATGCCATTTAGATTAGAAATGAAATTGAGCAATTAAGTTGGATGACGTAACATAAATGACTATAAATTGAGCGTTGGTCAGGTCAATTAAAGTGGTAGTGAGGTGTAGAAATTAAATCGGGTAGGGGTAGAGACAAGAAAGTTGAAAATGCAAAATATTACAATTGAGAAGACAGAATAATACCAATGAAGAGACAGAAAAAAAAAATTAGGTAGAATTTACCTTTCAGGTAATAATGTAGGTTAAGTCCATTGTAAGTTTAGTGATTGAACGAACCTCTTCTGTATGCAGAGTTCAGGGCTTAGCAAGTGAATCGCCATTGCTTCTGCAGTTTGAAGAAGTCTGATTCGTACACCTTTTGGAAGACTACTTCTTACTCTGTAGACGACTTTGAAGTTTGTTTGGGGTGCAGCTTGGTGTCCGGATTCTATCAGGTGTTCTAAGATGGAGCTGCGGGGACATCGCTTTTCTCCTTTGTAAAACCATGCTGGTAAGTGTTCGGTGATACGCTTGGAAAGCGAACGCTGGGTACGGCCGACATACCTGGCTCCACACGAGCAGGTGAATTGGTAGATACACATTGATGAGGCCAACAGTGGTAGCTTATCCTTCACGTTCACATGAATCATAGGTTTTGTGGAGAAAGTTAGTCGTAGTTCAGCTGCGAAGAAAGTCTTCTTGAGTGAGCGCGACAGTCGATTTTTTAGTATTTCCGCAGATATATCTCCATTGAATTGAAGGTTTATGTAGAGCGGTTTCTTCGGGACGCTATGCGTGGGCGGCTTTTGTGGCCTAGGATTCATAGATTTTGCAATAAATCGTTCTGGGTAACAATTCTCGACGAGGATTCTCTTGAGATTGTCCAGTTCATCTTCTACGGTGTCCGGGGTACAAATTCTGCGAACTCTGTTGCTAAGTGAACGGATCAGGTTCCGTTTGGTGTATAGGGGTACCCAACTGTGGAAGTTAATCAGCTGTCCGTTCCATGTTGACTTTCTGTAGATAGATCTTTTCAGTGTTCCATCGTGTTCTCGTCTTGTTAGTTGGATGTCAAGAAAGGATATTTTAGAGTTGGACTCTTTCTCCAGCGTGAACTGAATTGCGGGGTGGCACTTGTTAAACGACTTCAGGATGTCGTCTAGATTCTCTTCATTGTTGACGATAATGAAAGTGTCGTCGACGTATCTCTTGTAGATTCCGAAGGTATCGATCATTTTCTTCATGCATGTGTTTTCGAGTTTTGCCATGAAGAAATCTGCAAGTAATGGGCCTAGTGGTGAGCCCATAGCTATACCATCCTTTTGGCGATATATTTCGTTGTTGAAAGAGAATTGAACATTCAGGGTACACCTCAGAAGGAGTTCTTTAAGACGCTCGGTGGGTATACCGATGTTTATTCCTTTGGAATCAATAAGTTCGCATACATAGCATATTGTTTCAGTCAGTGGAACATTTGTGAATAGTGATGTGACATCTAATGAGATCATGGTCCTGTTGGATACGTTGATGTTTTCAATTGAGTCGATAAAGTCGAATGAATCTCGAACTGTGTGGCAGGAAACTTGTCTTCTGATTGGTTCTAGTAGATCTGCTAGCCATTGGGCTGTGCGGTGATAAGGCGAATTGGTCATGTCAAGGATCGGTCGAAGAGGGATACCGTTCTTGTGTACTTTCGGAAGTCCATAGAGTCGTGGTATATTTGAGCCGGATGGTCTTATGGATTCAAACGTTTCGTTGCTGATGAAAGATTCAGTTTTTAGCTTACGGAGGGTGTCCGTTAGCTTTTGTTCGGTCTGTTCAGTCATGTTTTTCTCGTTGACCGGTTTTGTGAATTTACATTCATCGGATAGTATAGTCAGCATCTTACTGATATAGTCCTTACGATTCATGATAACGATTCCTCCGCCTTTATCAGGACGTAATATCATAATCTCTTCGTTTTTCATAAGTTCTTTCAGCTCCTTATAATGCCTCTTCGTCAAAATGGACCTTCCGTTGGGTTTGGTATTTATAAACTTGTGACAACTGTCGAGGATTGATGCTTTGAGTTGTTGTAGGTTTTCATCTGATGTGGGTGTGAGATCGTAGGTTTGGTTTATTAGATTTTCAAACTGAATCTGGCATTGTAGATCAAGATCTACGCCATTCCTTCGAAGAATATGTGCAACAAGTCACTCAGAAAGAATGCAACAAGACTAAAGCAGATCTGCTCAAAAGTCTAAAGCCTACAATTAATACCGAATCTCCGTTCCCAAGCAATCCAGAAAAATACGTATTCAATCTTTCAGACATCACACTATCTACTACCCAACTAGAGGCACTATCTCTAGGTCCGAAATTCTGCGTAAAACCACAATGTATTGACAAGCTACAATGCCAGATTCAGTTTGAAAATCTAATAAACCAAACCTACGATCTCACACCCACATCAGATGAAAACCTACAACAACTCAAAGCATCAATCCTCGACAGTTGTCACAAGTTTATAAATACCAAACCCAACGGAAGGTCCATTTTGACGAAGAGGCATTATAAGGAGCTGAAAGAACTTATGAAAAACGAAGAGATTATGATATTACGTCCTGATAAAGGCGGAGGAATCGTTATCATGAATCGTAAGGACTATATCAGTAAGATGCTGACTATACTATCCGATGAATGTAAATTCACAAAACCGGTCAACGAGAAAAACATGACTGAACAGACCGAACAAAAGCTAACGGACACCCTCCGTAAGCTAAAAACTGAATCTTTCATCAGCAACGAAACGTTTGAATCCATAAGACCATCCGGCTCAAATATACCACGACTCTATGGACTTCCGAAAGTACACAAGAACGGTATCCCTCTTCGACCGATCCTTGACATGACCAATTCGCCTTATCACCGCACAGCCCAATGGCTAGCAGATCTACTAGAACCAATCAGAAGACAAGTTTCCTGCCACACAGTTCGAGATTCATTCGACTTTATCGACTCAATTGAAAACATCAACGTATCCAACAGGACCATGATCTCATTAGATGTCACATCACTATTCACAAATGTTCCACTGACTGAAACAATATGCTATGTATGCGAACTTATTGATTCCAAAGGAATAAACATCGGTATACCCACCGAGCGTCTTAAAGAACTCCTTCTGAGGTGTACCCTGAATGTTCAATTCTCTTTCAACAACGAAATATATCGCCAAAAGGATGGTATAGCTATGGGCTCACCACTAGGCCCATTACTTGCAGATTTCTTCATGGCAAAACTCGAAAACACATGCATGAAGAAAATGATCGATACCTTCGGAATCTACAAGAGATACGTCGACGACACTTTCATTATCGTCAACAATGAAGAGAATCTAGACGACATCCTGAAGTCGTTTAACAAGTGCCACCCCGCAATTCAGTTCACGCTGGAGAAAGAGTCCAACTCTAAAATATCCTTTCTTGACATCCAACTAACAAGACGAGAACACGATGGAACACTGAAAAGATCTATCTACAGAAAGTCAACATGGAACGGACAGCTGATTAACTTCCACAGTTGGGTACCCCTATACACCAAACGGAACCTGATCCGTTCACTTAGCAACAGAGTTCGCAGAATTTGTACCCCGGACACCGTAGAAGATGAACTGGACAATCTCAAGAGAATCCTCGTCGAGAATTGTTACCCAGAACGATTTATTGCAAAATCTATGAATCCTAGGCCACAAAAGCCGCCCACGCATAGCGTCCCGAAGAAACCGCTCTACATAAACCTTCAATTCAATGGAGATATATCTGCGGAAATACTAAAAAATCGACTGTCGCGCTCACTCAAGAAGACTTTCTTCGCAGCTGAACTACGACTAACTTTCTCCACAAAACCTATGATTCATGTGAACGTGAAGGATAAGCTACCACTGTTGGCCTCATCAATGTGTATCTACCAATTCACCTGCTCGTGTGGAGCCAGGTATGTCGGCCGTACCCAGCGTTCGCTTTCCAAGCGTATCACCGAACACTTACCAGCATGGTTTTACAAAGGAGAAAAGCGATGTCCCCGCAGCTCCATCTTAGAACACCTGATAGAATCCGGACACCAAGCTGCACCCCAAACAAACTTCAAAGTCGTCTACAGAGTAAGAAGTAGTCTTCCAAAAGGTGTACGAATCAGACTTCTTCAAACTGCAGAAGCAATGGCGATTCACTTGCTAAGCCCTGAACTCTGCATACAGAAGAGGTTCGTTCAATCACTAAACTTACAATGGACTTAACCTACATTATTACCTGAAAGGTAAATTCTACCTAATTTTTTTTTTCTGTCTCTTCATTGGTATTATTCTGTCTTCTCAATTGTAATATTTTGCATTTTCAACTTTCTTGTCTCTACCCCTACCCGATTTAATTTCTACACCTCACTACCACTTTAATTGACCTGACCAACGCTCAATTTATAGTCATTTATGTTACGTCATCCAACTTAATTGCTCAATTTCATTTCTAATCTAAATGGCATTATTATCTACCCCACTTCTACTTAGTCTCTACCTGTAATTACCTCTGTTGCTAACCTGACCTAAGTTAAAACATTTTAGTCAATTGTATTACGTCATCTAACTTACTAACTCAATCTTAATTTAGTTGCTGTCCAATTAACTTTGTTTCTATATTAGATCATTCTTTTATTACCTGATCAATTATCTAATTTTGACAAACCTCATGTACACACACACACTCAAATAATTATATATAAATGCGATTGTACAGCTATGTGAATGAATTCGCCGAAAAGAGTCTCTTCGCTGAACGTCTTCTCTTTTTCATATGACCAGGATATTAAACAGTTTTAAAAATAATGATATATGTATATAATTTAATTCAACCTGACTGCCTGTCTGCCAGCCAGTCAATCAACCTACCTGTACCATCTGATGAAAGCATATGATCAAATTTTTCGATTGACTTCATCATATCATAACTATCTTCAAAATCATTGAAATGATTATGTACCCATAATAAGATAATACGATTAACACGTGATCTCAACTTAGGATTATGTAAATGCCATGATAGTAGACGATCAACAATTGGTCGTGGAGAATCTAAAAATGTACGATATGTAAGCAAAAAATCTTCTGGATAGGTAATATCTACATTGGACAAGTCAGCGATCAAATGTTCAATTAACTTTTCTGGTGTACCCTAGAAAAGAAAAGAAAAAAATGTAAACAAAAGAAAGAAAAAACAGGGAAAAAGAAAATTATTATTGTTTAGGTGCAAGTTAGTTTTATATTATATCATTTTGTTGTACTATAAATATACCACCCTGGCACACATTTCCTACAAATAACTAACCACCTTCCAGTGCAAAACAGTTCAATTTGCTGCACAAGTTAGCAAAAGAAGAAAACATAACTAGGACAGAATAAGGGAGAAAATAGCCTAAAATCGAAATCTACAATTCAATGGAGACTCATAGACAGAAAGCTAACACTGATGCTGATCGGCTTCATCAATGTGCATCTATCAATTTACCTCATCCACCTGTGGAACCAGGTGTGTTGACCGTACTCAGGGTTTATTATCTAAACGTATCACCGAATACTTACCTTAATGGTTTTATGAAGGAGAAAAACGACGCCCCATCACCCCCCCCTCTCGCAGCCACAGCTCTACCCTGGAAAACACCTGATCGAATCTGGACAGACATCAAACTAACCCACAAACTAACTTCAAAGTTATTTATAGAATACGCGGGAATCTCTAGCTTAAAAAGTACGAATTAAACTTCTTCAAACCGTAGAAGCAATGGCGGCAATTCTTATGTTCAATTCTGAACTCTGCATACAAAAAAAAGTTTGTCCGGTCACTAAACCTCTGTCTATCTGTTTTCGACATAGAACTTTGCACAAATGTGCACCACAATCCCTCCATGTAGCGCACAAAGCAAGAGAAAAAAGTACAAATGCATAATAGAGACAGTAAACAGAGGTGTGAGATGAGATAAAGGAATAGTAATAACGAAGAACAAAACAGTTTCATTGGAAATCATAAGTTACAAGGAGTGGATGCATCTGTGTTAGCCACTGAGAACGATTTTAAGCCATGTCACCAATTGTTTCCAGCCATTTGTTTTTACCGTCACTAAACCTACAACAGATCTGATCTGTCTTAACACTGGATACGTTGCTTCTGAAAGAAGTAACCTCCTTCACCTACCCACCTAACTGGGAAGCATCGTTTTAACTGAAGGCGGACAGATCGCGAAAGCAACACAAGCTTTCATTACTCTCAAGTCTATGTGGAGGTCAACACTCAATATCAAAAATAAGATCCGGATTTTCAACACCAATGTGAAGTCAGTCAGTGCTACTATCATACGGGTCAGAGACTTGGCGCGTCATGAAGAGCACCTCTAACAAACTACGAATTTTCATCAATAGCTAGCTGTCTTCGCTCAAGACTACTCAAGATCAGATGGTCGGCCATAAAAGATCAGCAACAGGGATTACTGGCAATGAGCGAACCAATCCAGCAGTAACCCATTGTGCAACAAATATGCAGGAAGAAATGGAGGTGAATTGGTGACCATACTCTGAAAAAACCATCAAGTGTGTGACATCACAACAGACGTGCGTCAATACTTCACCGATAAAATCTCCTCTCCAACGACACACGTGGTCTACGCTCGATTTTAGGCTGATGCATTGCTAAACCACTTCGTCTAGACGGTAGTTCGGCTCGAAAAAGAAGTAGAATCGAGTGTGTGTGTGTGGTCAGCAACTTTACCCTACTCCCCTCCAAAAAAGCCGATTACATCATTGCTACTGACACTTCAAAAATTCGAGGTCATATATACTAATTAGCAAGGTAAAAGAAAGCAAATGAATATATAAAGGACTGGATTCTTATCGTCTCTTAGCTCCACATCTAATAATGATCGTTAATAGGTTCAACGAAAGACGGTCTGTTTTCAAGGTTTGATTTCGTGAGAAACCATCATTCATGGAGGGGGTGGATGGGAAGGAGCACAGTTGCTGGGTAATTTTTATCTGTAGACAATTATGTCACCAGTGACACTCGATAATGACATTAGTAATAATGTCACGTGAATTGTGGATAGAATTTTATTTTGATAAAGTCACACACATTGTTATGTAGTAATATTTACTGATGACGACATTTCGAGCATAATAAGGTGAGCGATATTGAGGCTAGGCGTGAGTCGAGTGCTAGGTAGGTGGGAGGGGAAATCAATCGATGAGGCTGTGAAATTACATCGACTGAGATGGTTAAGACATGTTTTACGTACGCATGCCTAGTCATTGCCTTCCTCGACTGACAGGCTGGAAAAGAGCTAGCTAGCGGCGGTCAAACCAAAACATGGCTTCATCAGTCAATGAAATCTATAACAGTTAGTATAAGTCACGTAGGAAGTTGTAGAGTTCCTGAGTGGTTGAGGTCCTCGGGACGGTAAAAACCAATGGTTGGAAACAATTGGTGATATGTTTCAAGATCGTTTTCAATGGCTGGCGGAGATGCATTCACTCCTTGTGACTTATAATACTCAATGAAACTATATTGTTCTTCGTTATTACTGTTCCTTTGTCTCGCACCTCTGTTTACTGTCTCTATTATACATTTCTTCTAGTTTCTTCTCTTGTTTTGTGTGCTACAAAGAGGCAGTGCGGCGACTTGAACTGGTGCACATCGGTGCAAAGTTCTATGTCGAAAACAGACGGACAGGATACACACCTCTAGGAGAGAGATCACCCTAATTTCCTTTGGAAACCCTCCGCCATATCCAAATCACAACTATAGTCTCTACTTGATATCTTTATAATAAATTGGGTATTAGGTAAGGGAAAGAGAGGGAGAGAGAGACTGGGGAATATAATTGCATAATGATACTGGTGCAAATGTTATGTAATATTGAAATAAAAGCATTTCTCAAGTAGAATGTACCACCACTACATTGTTATAAATCTGTATTTTTCACTTCTTACTCCTAAAATTTGCCTTGTTGTTTTTTTTAAATTCTATTTTATTCTGTAGATGTTACGTAAAATATCAAGTGACAGTGATATGTATCCACATATATATATTTATGTGTGTGTGTGCATGTTGGTCTCTCTTTCTGTTTGCTCGGTTAGTCTGTGACCACTTCACTTGTATGAACTTGTCTCCTTTAATAATGTGTATTCTCCTTATATTATATTATGTATAATATGAGTGTTTGTTGACAGTCCGTTGCTTGGTGACATATATCCATATATGTTTGTTGGCATGTCCGCTATATTCGCTATGTATAATTGGATCGACACTCCATTATAATTAGCCATTCATGTTAAGACTGTCTAATGATTTTTCCCACGCTTGTCTGAATTATTTATATATATTCGCATTCACAATTTGTGTGAACTACTTTTACAACTAATTTACTTACTTACCACTTTGGTGTGAGACCATTTATTTTCGTCTCCTTGTGTTTGGACAATAGAAGTATCATCGCAAACCTAGTGGTCTTCTGATTTCCGCCTTCTCACGTCAGGACTATTAGTTTCTCGACCAGTCCATAACAATAATTCAGCGACGAGTACATAACAGACAGACAGACCACCGACCATTCATATTCTCAAATGCAATGCCATTGTTAATATTATCAATATTATTTATTACTACTATTCTTATTATGATGACAATGATGATTTATCGCGTCACAGCACAACCACTGAAATTAGAACAAAACACCACAAAATTCGTTCTTTTTTATATATATCCACATTCCTGTCTCTCTATGTGTCTCCTCTTTTTTAAAAAGGTGGCTAAATAATACGATTAACTTTCCCGACCACCCCGTCGTTCTCCTCCCATTTTTTAAATAACATTGCTAACTGTTGGTTGTTCACGTTTATTATTTTATACTACTCACTCACTCACTCACTCAAAAGTTATTGCCGCTCACAATCATATCAAGGCACTACTCACACAACTTTCTTGCTTCATTTATATACATCAATAAATACTGATTATATATATGAATAAAATCAACGATATAAGATAAAGTACATTCAGAAATAAGATGTTTTCATAGTAAGAATAAGTAACTTGTTAGAATGTTATAATGTCAATTGAATTGAATACATTTTAACATTATTTATTATCTTCCTCTGATTTGACTGACTGGTGGTAATAATATCTTCCACAACTCTGGTATTTGCGTTGAGTCACTTCTATTGGACATGTGTTGTGTTGTGTGTAGACTAGATGGACCAGGATACATCCACCTGCCTATATTACTTTTAAGAATGTTGACTCTGCTCACCCTTCATGTGTGGTTTTGTGTTGGTGCATGGAGTGCGATGTAGTGTTGAGTTCCTTTCTCTAAATTACTTATCTTCGCGGGTGGGGCCAATCATTCTAACCTTCGTTTTATTTCTCATACAATTATTGATAACACTAATTGTGGTTCCGAATGTACTTCATCTCCCGCATGTTTCACGCATATCTTTTATTGACTTCATTCAAATGTCATGTATCTAAACGAAACAAGAGAGTTGTGTGAGTATTGCCTTGATATAATTATGCACAGTGATAAATTGTGCTCGAAAAGTGGTCATCAGTAAATATTAATTACCGTATAACAACACGGTGTGTCTTCATCAAAATTAAATCTTATCCATTATATTATTATTGTTTCCTTGGGTTCCTAGTGGAACATAGGACTTCAACTGCGCGTCTCCACTTGCCACTTCTGTCTTCCTTCTGCTGTACTTTTCACCTGTATCCATGTTAGTTAGTTCATACTCTTTCAACTCCTTTTCACACAATCTCCTCCATGTCTGCCACCCTTGCACTGACGTCCCACTCGCCACTTCCCTTTCGGCCTGGTTGCACTCAAGCGATGTCACTCAGCGGCCAAGCCTCATCAGCGAGTAGTGTCCAATCCATCTCAATCCAGTTTCTCCTGCATATTTGTTGGTTGGCGATTGATTCTTGTTTTATTTTGTTAGTTCCCATAGTTGGTGGCGATTCTTTCCGGCCCGGCCATCTACTCCTCAGTATAGATCCAGCGAAAACAGTTGTTGGTTGATATAGGTCTGCATGCTGCAGGCTGTTGGTGGAAATATTCTTTGTGACCCGCCCGCCAAGTTTCTGTCTGATCTGTATAGAAGAACTGACTAACTTGACGTTGTTTGTATTGAAAATCCGACTGAATTTTGTTGTTGATTCTGGCTGAGTGACGAAGATTTCCAGATTGGTTTCAGGTTAATGAATGTGTGCGTTTCTTGCCTGCCTTTCCGATTCTCGCCCGATTTGACATCCTCGTCCATTCTGACATCCTATAGTTGAGACAATGCTCAATGCTAGATAAGTGAATGAAGTAACCTCTTTCAAATCCCTCTCGTTGATTTTGTTGGTGGTGGTGGTGGTTGGTTATTTTCATAACCTCCATCTTGTCTATGTTCACCTGGAGTCCTGTCTTCACCGGCTGCTTCTTCGATCGATCAGTTTGTCGATCGGTTTTCGCTTTCAAATCTTCGATTTTGTGTGTGTGTGACATCAAACATAAATCATCCACGCGCGAAAACCAGGTATCTTCTAGGTTCTTCACGTCGATTCAGGATATCCCTGGACCATAATGAAAATTATAATATCTAACCCAGCACCCAACTGTGATATACTTATGTCATATGAATTTGTTTTAATTGAACGACTTTGAAAGCGAACACAATTTTTTGTTTTGTTTTACTAATGTCTTTCAAAATCATTGAACCCATTAAACAAAAGTTGGCGGCTTTTATGAAAAAATGTTTTAAAAAAGTGTATAAACAGCAACAACAACAACAACAACAACTAACCTTTGTGACTAATCGACATTTTTTCGATAGAATCGAATTATCATTTATTGATTTATTATTATTATTATTGTTAGTGCTTAAATCACTGCTAAGATTTGTGTCTAAATTAATTGATTCATAGACAAGAACAACACGTCCACCTTCACCCAACTCTGGTATTTCAGCTTCCCCCTCACGACTGATTATTTTCATATAATCTGCTTGTGGTACACATAGAAAATAACAATCTTCAGTGACCGTGCGCATGACCCCTCGATGTATACGATCTGTTTTACCCGGCCGGATACCGAATGCATCACCACGAGTTAATTCACGTATTGTACCATCTGGTTCAATAACCTGTGATCAAAACATGAAAAAAAAAACAACTTAGGGAACAAAATTGCATAATTAACTGAACAAACATGAAGAATTGAAACTATGTAGTCTGTTTTCGACATAGAACTTTGCAAAGATGTGCGACAGTTCAAGTCGCCACACTCCCTCCATGTACCACACAAAGCAAGAGAAGAAAGTAGAAGAAATGCATGATAGAGACAGTAGACAGGGATATGAGACAAAAGCAATAGTAATAGCGAAGAACAATATAGTTTCATTGGAAATTATAAGTCACAAGGAGTGGATGCATCTGCACCAGCCATCAATGAGATCGATGAGTTTGAGCCATAACCACCAATTGTTTCTAACCATTGATTGGTTTTTACCGTCATGAGGACCCCAACCAGTCAGGAAGTCTACACCTTCCTACTTTACTGACTGGCTTAAACTAACTGTTGTGGATTTCACTGACTGATGAAGCCATGTTTCGGATTGACGGCCGCTAGCTATTTTCCAGCCTGACCCTATATCAGCTAACATCGGCCATTGTCGAGGAAGACAATGACTAGGCACACGTAACACATGTCCTAAACATCTCAGTCGATGTAACTTCACAACCTCGTCGATTGATAGTACTGCTGATTGATTAGAAGGAGCAGTTAAATACCACTCATATTAATCAAGAGTGCTTGCTAGACAAACAGACAGTCAGATCGAGGTGATCTAAATACCGCCGGATGGATGGCTGTTTCGCACGTCATAAGCGGTGTGTACTCGGATTGATGCATCGACATATAGACAGTCACCAAATCAGTTTAAACCATCCGATTTCTGACAGACTAGCCTATCTGGTCGAACTAATGGTGTGGTGTTGTGATAAAGACAATGTGTTCCAACGGATAATTATTCGCACATACTCCCACAGTTCAATATAGTATTAGCGACAGAATACGATATATCTATTTAGGCATTCTGTTTTGCAATTAATAGTGTTCTCTAAGCTGTTTGGTTTAGTTTCGGCGGGGCTTCCGTCGTCCCCTCTTCTGGACAACATCCCCTTTCAGCGCAATATTTAGCATAAAGTGAAATGATTAATTCAATTTTTTCCATGAGTGGCAGAATTGCATTTCCTAGTAACCATTTTTAAATCTGCATTGATCATTTTTATTATTGACTTGGATTTTAAACTTTCCCATCACATGTGATTTACTTTTTATTAGTTGGTATATTTCGTCTATATTAACGCTGTTTGTTAATTGCCTATTCGTTTGAGTACACCAGGCTTCTAGGAATTCCCTGACTCCACTTTTGGTGGTGTTTCCTCTGTCTAGGATTTCGACATTATCACAATCATTAAACTGATGTTCATAATTGTCTATATGCATTGATATGTTAGAATATTTATATCATGTCTTTTCTCAGCTGATTTGTGTTTCTGGATTCTAATTCAAGGGGACGCCCACTTTGTTGACCGATGTAATGCAATTTATTTTCTAAATGGTATTTAATTTTATCTCCTTTTTCTGTTGGATCTTTCAGTTTGCACAATATCGACTGAAATGATTGTGCTATATCTATTTTTCAAACGGTTTCAATATTCTAGTTGTTATATACATGGTAGGATGAATTTTCTTGTAGTCTTTGATGATGGTTCCTTATTGGTATTGTGATTCGATTCTGTTTGTTGCTAGGGTCAAAATGCTTTTCCCGCGGTTCAATACTGCGCGTTAGCAATAGAATACTACGTGTATTTGAAAACATTCTATGCCATGTAAGCAAAAATCACACGCCCAATGATTGGTTACTTTACTTTGGCTATCTCCTACGGGAGGATGAGCCGGCTTCATGAACATCTCGAATCATCGCTGGCCAGGCGCGGCGATCTGATGCAAGGTTTTGCGACAGGGTTATCCAATTCTTGTTCCACAGACGGAGTCCGTAGACGGTTTGTAGCCCCAGGCACTCCATATCAGCCTTGACTGCACCAAGCCATGTTTTCAGCTGTCCACCCCTGCGACATCGCCAAGATGGAAATGGCGAGGGATTTAGAACTGATTTGACCAGATCGTCATCTGGTCGGCGCAGAACATGGCCAAACCACGAAAGGCGACGTTGTTGGACCAGTACAGGAATTTGGTTGATGTTGTAGAGAGTTCATGAAGTTTCATGGGAATTAGGTACGAGTGATGTCCCCAGCATCGCTCGGAGAGTTTCCTTTTGGAAACCAAGGTATTCTAATCACCACGAAATATGATCTGCTTGACACTACCATTAATAATAGTAATCAAGAAATCATATGCAAGGTTGCATAAAACTATGTACTGTACTACTCAACAAAATCAATCAGTAGACAGATAGTTCCACTTATATCTGCTTGTTCACTTGATTATCATTTATGGTTGGGTATCAAGCAGATGATGTACTGTGATCGAAATATCTTGGTTTTTCAAAAGGAAACTCTGAGGTGAAATTTCACCAGTCGAACTACATAGATTGCAATTTGGTCCGCAATTCGCAATACGCCAAATTACGTCATCTCTGGCTTAGTAAACGTGATATCCGGTTGTCGACCAAAAGGCTCAGAAGTTCACTGCGTCCTTTTTTATGGCTCTATGGGCATGACAAAGCAATTGAAAGTGGAAGACATGAGAAGCCTGGCTAGCTGTCTTTGAACATACATGTCTGCGTTCTATCTCCCGTTGTATTTTGGTGGTACAATAGGGTAAGTAATATTAAGGTTAGGCATCGGTCGAGTGTTAGGTAAGCAGGGAAAATCAATCAATCAACAAGGTTGTGAAGTTACACTGATTGAGATGGTTAGGACATGTGTTACAACACATGCATCCTTATACATCGTCTTCCTTGACGGGCAACGTTAGCTGACAAAGGATCAATCAGGTTGGTAAACAGCTAGTGCTGATGGGGTCTAACGAAAACAAGCCTTCATCAGTCAATGAAATCCATAACAGTTAGTTCAAGCCGGCCAGCCAGCCACGTAAGGTGTAGACTTCTTGACAGGTTGGGGTCATCAGGATGGTAAGAACTAATGACGGCTGGAGACAATTGGTGATAAGAAGGATAATCGTTTTCAGTGATGGCGCAGACACATCTACTTTTTGTGATTTATTATATCCAATCAAGTACTCTATTGTTCTTCCATATTACTATTCTTTTTACCTTACTCACTTTTTTTATTGTCTCTGTTTTGAATCTCTCTTTACTCTCGCCTCTGGCTTTGTGTTCTACATGGAGAGAGAGAGAGAGAGAGAGTGGCAATTCGAAGTCTGTCTGGATTCAACATAGAACTTGGCACCGAAGTGCACCAGTTCGAGTTGCCACGTTCCAAATAGCACACAGAGGTAGACAAGAAGATGAGTGGAGAGAATCAATAGAGTTTGACAAGTATAAGAGTGAAACAGAATGGGTAATGGTAGGAAGGAATATGAAAGATTACAGAGACTGAATACATCTGCGCCATTGACAACGATTTTGAGCCATGTCACCTATTGTCTCCAGCCATTGATTCCTAGAGTCCCGAGGACCCCAACCCGGAGTCTGCATCTCCCTACCTGACTCAGTTTAACTGTCAAGGATTTCATGGAATGATGAGGCCATGTTTTTGTTTGGCCACCACTGGCTCTTTTCCAACCTGAACCTATATCAGCTAGCAAAGCCCGTCGGGGGAGGCGGTGGTTAGGCATGCGCAGCACGTGACCTAGCCATCTTAGTCTATGTAACTTTATAGCCTCGTCGATTGATTTTCCCTCTTTGCCCAACACTCTACGCCTAACGTCAACATTACTTATCTTGTGAAACCACCTAACGAAGTGCTCCATATCTGTGCAGAGTTTTACATTGAAACCAGTCAGCCAGTCAGTCAGTCAGCAATTCGCATATTGTAAATTTCATTTATAGGACGAATGACCTAGATTATAATATGACGACAATACCAACACGAAGTAAAGTGAACGACAGTATTGATTGCTTGATATGTTTCGATGTGACAGGGTTATAGGCCACGTTTATTGTCTAAAGTCTGATGATACTAACTCAGCCACTTAAAAGGTAGGGTGGATTTAAGCCTACGAGTCACACATTTACTAATAATCAAGTGGACAACGCAATAACACACAACAGTTCATACATACATATTTGCAGTGGGCTAACCCCAGCTACACTGGCTGAAACGAGTATATCACACAGGTTCTACCATGCAAGTTTACAGTTATCATTTTTGTGTCAGTCACCTTATGCTCGTAGGGATGTAACAGTACTATAGTGTCTCCCTAAGATAACTAGAAAGCCAGCTGCACTGCCTCCCCGCCACACTAGGGATGGGAGTGAGAAGAAAAAGTTGACTCCAAACACTTTAAATCCCAACTTATCTTGAGGTGTTCCTAGTCGGTAGTAAGCTCACCAAATAGACACTGTGATATCAGTGGTGTTTATTTTTATAAAAATGGGTTTGCTAGCCTCATACCAAACCTCCCCTCTTCATCAGACTTTTTGCTGGCTTAGCGAGGTAAAGAAGTGCACCAGCCACAGTGAATGATGATGATATTCCCACCACGGCGGCTTGAACCCAATGCCTATAGTTTCAAACGCCAAAGTGTTATCCACTAGACCACACTTGGGCCACGAGAGCCACTGCCTCTTGTGCAACGGGTCATATCAATTATGTAATGAAATTTTAAATTTTTCCATCGATTGATTGGACCGAAGTGCTCAGTCTCAGGTTGACATGTATACCGGCTTCTTGTGCAGATACTTCGATGATGTTTAGGCATTTGAATCTATGGACAGTGAATTCAAGCCTCCGTGGTGGGAAAATCATCACTCACTGCAGAATCTAGGCCCACCCAGCTGACGAGTCCCAAATAGGATGAAATGCGCTTTATCCTGGATTCCACCAATTAACTTCTGATCAAATATCATTCGATTAATTTTAATTTTTTTTTCGATTCGAAATGTGAACGTCAATTTTATGGCAATAAAAAATTTCGTATCATTGAAACAAAATT